ATTACACTGTAAATACATTTACAGCAAGTTAAATGACACGGTAAAATAAAATACAGTATTTTTGCTACAAAATAAAATTACAGTAAGTTACGAGCGAACTGCTGCCAGTTAGTTACTGTAATTTCTACAGGAAGTTTTTTTTTTACAGTGTAGATATGAATTTACCGTTTATTTTAATAAATATCAAAAATCTAAAAGGTGTGCATTATAGTTGACACCTACATGAACACTTTACAGTTGGTTTTATGACTGAGTCATTCTCCTCAAATGCTATTGAGCTTTAAATTATGGCATATTTTGAGCTTGAGCCCATATTCATAAAGAAAAAAATAGCAATATTTACATGATTTGACAGTTTAATAAATATCAAAAATCTAAAAGGTGTGCATTATAACTGAGACCTACATGAACAGAAGTAAATGTTCAGATTTTGATTAAAGATTACAAAGACAAACAATTTTTTTCAGCGGATTAACTTGCACGGATTAATTGTTCACATCATTACTAGCAATGTGCGCTAGTAAAGTAAATAAAGTCAATTTTGATTTCATGCAGACTTTAAGAATATTACGGTAGGATTTTGGAAATAATGAATAATAGCCAAATTAACAGGAACTGCTACCAGATAGGCCTTTTGGAAGAACGACACGAACCTTCAGTAATATTTATGACCCAATCCTTCAACAGCGGCGAAGAGGAAGTTATGCATATGTATGAGACCAACATAGACTTGTTCGGCATTGCTGGGAACGCCCACAAAAACGTCATAACCGTTTATGCCGTGGGGGAAAACAAACCATTCGAATTAACGCGCGGAGACCTTGTTAGGCGCTTGATCTTTACTTTTTGTGATGATTTCGATTGATTTTTGCTTGGTGCAATGCCGAAAAGTTGCTGTGTGGCATTCTGTACCTCTAATAAGTTAAAAAACCTGATCTGACGATGTATATGACTGATACACTGCAATGATCTGTCGTTAGTCCCGTTTCCCCCCACGCCGACTCCGCCCACACAGCTATGACGGGACACCGATCAAATTTATTCCTGTCTCGAACCAGGAAGTAACGTGTTACAACAGTCCTTAGACATGCGATCAACACTACAATGGGCTGACTGAGGAAAATCTAAACTGCATAATGGAAAAGTATTTTGCTCTGTGCCTTTTATTGTATGTTATCGCTAGCTGTTTTGCTGAAGGTAAGTTTTGGGAGCGCTTTAGATATCTTAGATATATTTGCAACATTTAACAGCCGTTTTTTTAACAGCCATTTCAGACATTTTATTTCAGGCATTAAATAAAACACAATAATTGAGCTGCACTATGTAATAAGTGTAAAATAACCAGTTTTTCGCCCTTACTCAATGTCACAACAATAGGCAAGGATTTTCTTAAATATATTTAATAGTTTAGATTATCGGACGCAGATCTGTTTTATAGTATATTTATACGTAAATAAGGCTTAAATATAGTAATAAGTCTTACGCGAATTAAGGGATCTCGCTTATTGTGATTGTTTACGTCTGACGCCATCATGACGTCATGCTCTGCCCCCCAGATCTTACTTACTTGAACGAGTTCTACTCTAAAACGCCTCAGAGGTTGTCCAAATACAGCTGGTACGGCAATGTTCGGCTAAACCACTTCAGAGTACCGGAGGATGCCGTGCTCGTGCGGTGGCTGCTCACGGTCTCACGGGGATCCGGACTGAACTGTGGCAACCAAAACATCACTGTGTATGTATGGTGAAATTATGACAGTAAACATACGTGTTTGAATAATCCATAGGTTTGGAGTGTTTTCAGTAGGGAAATATTATGTTGAAAGCTTTACCATGGTAACCATATTTCCCTTCAAAAATAGATTATGATAGGTAAAAGTTTGAGTAAAATTAATAGAGAACCTGCTATAACTCATCATTGATAAAATGAAAACCTCCTGAAAACCCTAGACTACAGTTGTAGTAATAGCTGTAGTTGCTATGGTATTTTGGCAGAAATTATGTTACTGTGGTAACCATTGAAATCCCATTTGAAAACATGTTGTCAAATATCAAGTGTGGGTTTTAATGTTTATAATGGTTTATAAATATTTCAAGTCAGCATGAAATGCATGTTATAGATCTTATTGTGAAGAATTCATCTGTACATACAGGTGCATCTCAATAAATTAGAATGTCGTGGAAAAGTTCATTTATTTCAGTAATTCAACTCAAATTGTGAAACTCGTGTATTAAATAAATTCAATGCACACTCATTTTTTACAAATGTTTTGACCTTGTAATATTTAATCAAAATGTCATAACTGGACTTTGCGGTGAAAAGGACTTCTTCAGTCATTTTGTCTGCTTGAACCTCGTCGCTACATGCTTGCATTCATCTGCGTCCACTTTTGAGTGCAACGTCCACATCTCAAAATCCAATCAGAAACAGATACATAGAACCAAGTCCTTTTTTCTTTTTCTGTGACTTTAATGTTTTTGTTTTTACAGGTTTGAGAATTGTAATGACATGTGTGCTGATTCTTTATACCTCTAAGAATGATCTCCTTGGAGGTCTTTCTTAGAGATCTCTTCTTGGAGACTGTATACAGAAGATAGATTCTCATGAGAAATCTTTAAAAAGCCCAGGACTATTGTGAACTAAATTTATACCAGGAGACCTGTTTAAAACATGCTTAAAAACATTTAAAACTATTCAAAGAGCACATACAGATACAAATAATTTCATTTATATACTAATATACTCCTAAAAGATGACAAAATAAACTTTTAGCGGCTAAAATGCATTAACTGTGCTGTACACTATAAGAGTTGGTTGTTAAAGTAGAAAAAGCAGCTAAATGACAGTAGTAATTCGTTTTCTTAACGCATAACATTGACTTTTGTCTATCTAATGCACATTAACAGGCACTTTAGGGCAGGAGCTCCCCCGGTCATCAACCCCATAGACACAGCCTTTCCAAACTCCACATCAGTCTCCCTTGCTCATAACTTGACGCTGATTATTCCCAGTGGACAGAGCAGCAATGTGACACTGTTCAATATGACCCACCCCAAAGCTGGTGACTGGTTCCTTGCTGCTCACCTGCCCAAAGATGAAGGAAAGATAGAGCAGCAGGTCTGTGTATATATGTATATGTATTGTGTAAGATTACCTATATAAATGTGTCAACTTTCCCGGTCAAAAAAAAAAAAAAAAATATATGTACAGGCAGACAAAAGTTTGGAATAGTTCAGATTTGCATTTATTTCATTAAAAATACCGTAAAAACAGTAATAATGTGAAGTATTTGTACAATTTAAAATAAGTGTTTTCTACTTTAATATATTTTAAAATGTAATTTATTCCTGGGATGCATAAGCTGAACCATTTTTTTAAAAGTAAATGTGTGATTGTTTGTTGCTTTCTATTTTAGGGACTGTCATCTTGCTCATACCTATTCCAGGCACAGATGTTTTTAAGGAGAGCTGCTGACCTGCCGATCCTGCAACACAACATTCCACTCTATCAAACACTCACTACTACAGCTCCAGCCTTGTTTAAGTATGCTCTATGTTTGTGTGTGTAGATTATATTGATGTTTGTTACTTTTTTGTTTATTATTATTATTATTATTTTGAATTATGCGGTTCGAAATAACTGTTTTCTATTTGAATATATTTCGTTATATTATTTATTTCTGTGATGAAAAAGCTGAATTTTGAGCATCATTTCTCCAGTCTTCAGTGTCAGATGAAATCATTCTAATATGCTGATTTGATGCTCAAGAATCATTTCTTATTTTTATCAATGTTGAAAACATTTGTGCTGCTTTATATGTTAGTGGAAACAATGATGCATTTTTTCAGGATTCTCTGACGAATATAAAGTTAAGAAGAGCAGCTTTTTTTTTTCATTATATGAAAAAGAAACTAAATAAAAATATAAAAATGTGAAGTTTCTGTTTTTGTTGAATTCTAAAGTATTTTTGTGTATCTTGTCTGTTTAGGGTCTTTGTTCCAGAGTTCTCCTCCAGGTTGGATGTTTTCATCTTGAACTGCTCTGTAAAGCTGGGAAATGATTGTGGGCTGTCAATCACTGTAGGCTCCAGCACTTTGAAGCAGGGCTCGGAGCTGAAACAGAACTGTTCAGGGTTAGAGAGCTGCTCCGCATCGGTCCTCATTCCCCCGTGGAACAGCTGGTTGCTGGTTATGGTTGAGACTAGTCAACCAAACACCACAATACCTTTCAGCATCTCTGCCAATGTCACAGGTCTGTTTTGATTCACCTATTACTTTAATTTCACTTTTTTGCCAGTTTTTGCTTGATTCTTAAATATCTTTCCCTCCTCTCTCACTTCATACACACAGTGGGATGTAAACCTTTGAGCGCCTCTTCAGATTTTAACACCTCAGCCTTTATTCGTACCATCATTGCTCCCCAAAGCAACAGCTCAGGTGCCCTAAGTAACACATCCGTTTCTAAGAGAGACCAACCGGGCCTCCGTGCTAACAGCTCTGAGCCAATGTGCATGAAAAGCCCTTCAGTGTTCAGAGATGAACAGGATGTACTATCACTACGCTTCATTGTTTCCAGCAACCTAACTGTGACCTCGGACCTTCCAACTGTGATCACACTTGAGCAGTCTCCTGGTGATAGTGGCGGCACGTTTGTTGTACAGCTCAACTTGAACACTGTAAGCATATAATATTATAATATAATATAATAATGTAATATACTATTAAAACATTTGCAGTCAGTAAGATTTTTGAAAGAAAACCAAAAGGTGCTCACCATGGCAGCATTTATTTAATCAGAAATACAGTAAAATCAGTTAAATTGTGAAACATTATTACAATTTAAAATAACTGAATTTTGAAGTAGAAAGACTGAAATAGTGTAAAACGTACTCCATTAATCTTTAAAACTTCGAAAAAAAAAAAATTTTTACAGTGTAAATTGAAAAAAAATATATAATTGAGAAATACTATGGTTTAAAAAATACTGTTGTGAAAAATATATTTTTCATGTACAAATGTACAGTGGGTATAGAAAAGAATCACATTTTAATCACATTTTGTTGCTTTGCAGCCTGAAATGAAGACGGACACAGTTTTTGTTTTATCCAGCTGTATTTGTATTTAGTGCAACTTATAACATCCAAGAGAAAGATATAACACCAACAAAAAAAAATAAAAAAACAAAATCACTGAGTTGGAATAAGGATCACCCCCTTGTGTCAGTATTTTGTTGAACCACCTTTTGCTTTAATTACAGCCTTTACTCTGTTGGGATTTGTCTCTACTAACTTTGCACATCTAGACTTTGTTATATTTGCCCGCTCTTCTTTGCAGAACTGCTCAAGTTCAGTTAAATTTGATGTTGATGTTTGTGGACTGCAGTCTTCAAGTCATTCCACAGATTCTCAATGGGGTTTAAGTCTGGGCTCTGACTAGGCCATGCAAGGACATTCACCTTTTTCTCCTTCAACCACTGTGTGCTCAGTTTTGCTGTGTGCTTTGGGTCATTGTCATGTTGGAAGGTAAATCTTCTTCCCATTGACAACTTTATAGCGGAGGGCAGCAGATTTTCCTCAAGAATTTGATGGTATTTTTTGACCCATCCATTTTTCCTTCTATCCTGACAAGCGCTCCAGTCCCTGCTGCAGAGAAACACCCCCATAACAGGATATTACCACCTCCATGCTTTACTGTAGGAATGCTGTTACTTGGATGATGAGCTTTATTGGATTTCCGCCAGACATATCGCTTGGTGTTGAGGCCAAATAATTACATTTTAGCCTCATCTGCCTCAGAATCTTCAAGGTGCGTTTTGGCAAAGCTCAGTCGTGACTGCATGCGGCCTTTCTTGAGGAGTGGCTTTTTCTTGCAACCCTCCCATACAAGCAAAATTTGTGGAGAATTTGTGATATTGTTGTCACATGCACACAATGACCACTCTTTGTCATAAATTCCTGCAACTGCTTCAGAGTTGCTGTAGGCCTCTTG